ACGAGTGTACCAACACAACAAAAAAAAATTTTGAAATTAGAGTGTACAGAGCGCGCGAAATTCAAAAAGTCACCTTACTTTTTGATCACACCTCGTAGTTGATGAATACGAGTATACCGAACAAAATTACGAGATTGTTTGGGACGCATTGCACAGACGGTACGATGATCCTAAATTGCTAATTCATAATCACATTGAAGCGATGTTCAAGATAAAGGCTATAAATAGTGAGTCAGCTGTACAATTAAACGGCATAGTCGACAGTTTTACGAAACGGCATAGTCGACAGTTTTACGAAACATACTCGCGCACTAAAGAAGTTACAGAAACCGACAGAACATTGGGATTCACTGCTTATTCATCTTATCGTCGCTAAATTAGACAATGATTCAGCTCGTGAATGGGAAAAACAAAAATTACTTTTGTCAGACAAGCCGAAGTTTGAGTATCTGATAAAAGCGTTGCGCGATAGGGTAACATTGTTGCAAACTATAGAGAGGAAAACCGGTGGGATCAAGGCAAAGGGGAACTCGCAAAGCAAAACTAATGCACTTTTAGTTAGTAAAGCAAGCTGTACTTCATGCAAGGGAGAGCACTATATTAAAAAATGCGACGCATTCTTAAAGTTAACGCCACAGGAAAGAACCGAGAAAGTCAAGCAACTCAAGTTGTGTACAAATTATTTAAGAAAGGGTCACTTTATAAAAGACTGCGGATTCGGGATGTGTAGGAAATGTAACAGCAAACACAATACGTTACTGCATTTCGAGAAGGAAGCATAGTCTCTTCAAGGCTCAACGACAACAATGTGCTCCTCAAGTCAGACTAGCGCTATCAATGAATCAAACGTAATTTTAGCAACGGCATTAGTGAGCGTAAGCGGTACTAGTGACATGAAATGCAACGTTCGCGCATTCTTAGATTCATGCGCTCAATCAAATTTCATATCGGAAAACTTATGTAATAAGTTAAAGCTCGAAAAGATCCCGATAAATACGCAGGTGATGTCATTAAATCAACCCGGGCCTAAAATTAGGCACAAATGCGAATTCGAAATCAGGGCGCGTAATGGGGGTTTCAGATTCAAAGCTATATGTCTCGTTACTCCGAAAATAGTAGATGACGTAATGCCCAGTGAGAAAATCGATACAAAGGGTGTCAGAATTCCGTCTCATCTGAGACTAGCAGACCCGTCGTTTAATGTGCCCGGGCAAATAGATTTATTAATTGGCGCACAATGGTTCTGGGAGACATTCTTTGCGTAGGTCAGATAAGAACTAAACAACAATCTTATTATGCAAAAGACTAGATTGGGATGGATGGTAGGAGGACCTATGAGCGCGGCAGCTCCAAAAGTAATGCAATGCAATTCCATCATACAGGCAAATCTAGATCAGCAGCTGATTAGATTCTGGGAAATCGAAGAGACACTTGATGCAAGGGCATTGTCAAAGGAAGAAAAAGATTGCGAATCTCATTTTGTGAAAACTGCGCGTCGCGATAGGGATGGACGTTTCATTGTAAATATACCCTTTAAGGAGTCACCGACGTGTTTAGGAGAATCTAGACCGCTGGCTGAGAAACGCTTAATAGCTTTAGAAAGAAGGTTCAAGGCGCGTCCCGAATTGCGCGAAGATTATTGCGCGTTCTTAAAAGAATACGAGCAATTAGGCCATATGAATGAGGTCAACGAGGGCTCAGCAGAATTTTCATATTATCTGCCTCATCATTGCGTGATGAAGATGGAAAGCTGCACAACAAAAACAAGGGTAGTTTTCGATGCATCCGCTCCCACCACAAACGGACGATCGCTAAATTCTATCCAAATGATCGGTCCGGTAATACAAAGCGACTTGTTCTCCATTCTTATACGGTTTCGAAAGAATGTTTACATTATCTCCGCGGATATAGCTAAAATGTACAGGCAAGTGCTAATAGCGGAGGAGCAGCGACCATTACAAAGAATCGTGTGGAGGGAGCATCCCAATGATCCGATTAAATTTCGAGTTAAACACGGTAACTTACGGCTTCAGCATCATTTCAGGCAATCAGATGCTTACATCAATTAGGCATAGAATGTAAACAGGAAAGTCCGGAGATAGCCAAAGTAACGACTTTTACGTCGACGACATGCTAACAGGTAGTGACACAAGTGAAGGTGCGACTAATATCGCAAAGCAAACATCCCAAACTCTCGCGAGAGGGTGTTTCAAACTCCGAAAGTGGGCATCAAATTGCCCAGCGGTTCTAAGCGAGATAGGCGGAGAAGACGCAGTTACTAATAACATTCAAATTCCAAATGATGGTCAAAGAAAAACGTTAGGGATTACTTGGAACGCGCAAGCCGACGTCTTAGTTTATGGGGTTAACATACCAAACGGTAACAAGATCACAAAGCGGCATATTTTAGCTGTAATATCGAAAATATTCGATCCATTGGGGCTATTGGCTCCTTGTATAGTGCTAGGAAAAATAATATTGCAAAAATTGTGGTTGGAAAAGTTTTCATGGGATGAGTCTTTGCCATCCGAGTTACATCACCATTGGCAGCAGTACAGTGAGCAGTTAAACGTGCTCAACAATTTGCAAATCCCTCGGTTGGTTTTTCTAAGCGCGCGCATCTCGGCTCAAATGCACGGGTTTTCCGATCGCATCAAAGGAGGCTTACGGAGCGTGTGTCTACATAAGATCGATTGATTCGGAAAGCAATATTCAAGTCAGATTGCTTTGCAGTAAAACAAGGATAGCTCCGTTAAAGACGCAGACTATACCCCGTCTTGAATTATGGGCAGCATATTTGTTAGCGAAATTAGTCAATACAGTAGTTTCGGCTCTTGACGAGAACTTAGAGGCAACCACTCTCTGGTGCGATTCTACGATAGTATTAGGCTGGATACGTACTCAACCAAATCTTCTCCCGGTTTTCGAATCCAATAGAGTAGCGCGCATTCAGGAGTTAACCGAGATAGGGGCGTGGAGGCACGTGCCCACGGGAAGCAACCCTGCCGATTGGGCATCACGCGGAGCGAATCCAAATGAGCTACAGGGCGCTAACATCTGGTGGAACGGACCTGAATTTTTGCGAAGAAACCCCGAGTATTGGCCTAAAATGCCAAACGTAGAGCCCACCACAAATACGGGGAATTCCATATTTTTCGTAAAAACATCAAAAAGTACAATGATAGACGAATTGTTCAAACGGCATTCAAAGTTGCCTAAAATCATAAAAATTTTCGCTTATTGTCGTAGATTTATACAGTGCTTGAAAACAAAACAGAAGCAAGCAGGGGACATAAGTGCTGAGGAATACGAAAATTCTCTAATAGAACTAGCCAAAATGTCTCAGCTTAATGCCTTTGAAGAAGAAATAGACTCACTTGGGGCCGGTGTCCCAATTACAAAGGGAAGATTAGCTTCCTGAACACCATTCGTAAACGAAAATAAGATGCTGCGAGTGGGAGGTAGGTTAAGAAACTCATTATTCGAGAAGGATAAAAAGCATCCGATTATCTTAGACTCAGCTCAAATATTTACCAAGCGTCTTTTCGTGTGCATGCATAAACGATTGTTACACGCGGACCCTTCTCTATTGCTGGCATCAATACGGGAACAGTTCTGGCCACTAAGAGGGCGGAACTTAGCTAGAAAGGTAGTACGCGCTTGTACCACATGCAGTAGAGTTAATCCAAGACCAGTAAAAGCGCTGATGGGTAATCTACCGCGAGTACGGGTCTCCTAGGCTTTCCCATTTTCCGCCACCGGGGTGGACTATGCCGGGCCCTTTGCTGTAAAGGATCGTAAAGGAAGAGGGTATAAGACAAACAAATGCTATACCATATATGCGTGTTCGTATGTCTTTCGACGAAAGCATTGCACTTGGAACTTGTATCTGACTTAACCAAAGACGCATTTATCGCAACCTTAAGGCGTTTCGTGTCCCGTCGAAGAAAACCATCACAGATATACTCCGACAACGGAACAAGCTTTGTTGGAGGCAATAACGAATTGATAGAGCTAGGAAAGTTTTTCGCGAAAGAATGTAAAGAGCTAGGTGAAACGATAGCGGACTTAGGAATATCATGGCACTTCATTCCTTCTTATTCGCCTCATTTCGGTGGTTTGTGGGAGGCAGGAGTAAAGGCAACTAAATATCACTTAAAGAGAGTAGCTGGGAGCGCGTTACTAACATATGAGGAACTTTGTACGTTTTTAACCCAAGTCGAAGCGTTATTAAATTCCCGACCATTAACCCCCTTATCCTCAGATCCGCACGACCTCTCTCCTTTCACTCCGGCTCATTTCCTGATTGGGCGGACTTTCAATTCAGTAGCTGATCCAGATTTGAGCCACTTACAGCAATCAAGACTATCTAACTGGCAAAGAATCCAACAATTGCAACAAAATTGGAAACGCTGGAGCAAAGAATACATCTCCGAACTGCAGCAGAAAATCAAATGGAAGACGCCCTTTCCGGCCTTGGCAGTCAACACATTGGTATTGTTGAAGGAAGACCATTTGCCACCTGCTAAATGGAGACTTGGTCGCATTATAGAAGTCCACCCTGGATCCGACGGCATTCCCAGGGTTGCTTCCATTAAGACATCCACTGGAACCGTTCGTAGAGCCTTCAACAAACTCTGCCCTTTGCTACAGGATGAAGCAGACGTTCACATATAGGCTGCGAAAATCAAATATGACTCTAAGATGGAGTACTTTAGATTATCAGTTCAGATTATTAATTTTTCTTTACATCGTTTGATTGTCAATTAGTTTATCGTAGCAGTAATGTGTTATTCCTTTTTTTTTAAGAATTTATTTCGTTCTTCCATTCAATATTAATAGAGGTGTATATTGCGATTTAAGATTAAGAATACAATCTCCCAACGCCGGGGGCTTTATGTTTGATTTATTTGTCTCATGATTCTGTTCAAGAAATTGGTTTAAATTGTCTGCGTTGAACTCTATATTGTTTTTTTGTCAATTAAGGCGCCTCAAGCGTTCATGTAGAGAATTAGAATAAAAAATGGCCACAACGTCCACGAACGTGTTTTTTCATTGCGGAAGTAAATCCAGCATAAACAAAACAATAGATGAGGGTAGAATTATTTTCGACAATTATAAGAAGCCTACTATAATTCTGGCAGATATCCAAACTTTTATTCGAACCATCCTCTCGTACACAAAAAGGGTGTGGTAATTGGGCAGTTGGATAGAATTTTATTCCTGTAGCATCCTAAATTCCATGAAAAGAATATTGCATGTTTGATTGATACATTTTCGAAAAATGGACATCCTCTTGATTTTTTATTCTCAACCATTAATAATAGAATAAAAACTTTGTCTTTTAACGCCAATTTTGATAATATTAATGAACGCAAAAATAACATAAACTCGGAATCAACTAATGATAAAAAATTTTTTACTATTCCATATTGCAATAAAATTTCGGAAAAATTCGCTACTATCACAAAAAAATTCAATTTTAACATTGCTTATAAATCATTAAATAGTTTAAATTTTGCGATAAAAACTGGCAAAGACAAAATCAAAAAAGAAAGCAAATCCAACGTAGTTTACAAAATAAATTGTCTTGACTGTAATTACACATATGTCGAACAAACTAAAAGAAAACTTAATACGCGATTTAAAGAGCATAAAAATGACTATAAAAAACCATCAAATAATTTGTCAATCATATCGCATCACATGTTAGAATTCAATCATATAATGGATTGGGATAATACAATCATTATGGATTCCGAACAAATGTATTATAAAAGATTAGTCTCCGAAATGAGATACACATTAAAAGGTAAAGTACAGTTTAACCAAGCAGAGCGACACAGAATAAGAGATTTCTGAAGATTTACCTACCTATCATAAGTACCAGGTATGTAAATATGAAACCGGAATTTTTTAATAGAAAATACACGTTTATTGCATGAAAATGATAAAAAATATTTTATTCGAAGTATTGCCCATTGCTAGCTATACATTTTTCTCACCTGTCTGACAACGTGTGGATGCCACGCCAAAAAAATTGTTGCTCTATTGAGCCAAACCAGTCATCTAGCCATTTTCGTACATCTTCGTAAGAAGTGAAACGCTGCTGAGCAAGTACGTGTCCCATCGATGCAAATAAATAGTAATCGGACGGAGCCAAGTCTGGTGAGTAAGCCGCATGCGAAAGTATTTTCCAACCAAACGCCTCAATCGTTTCCTTGACCAGTTTTGCTATGTGTGATGATGCATTATCATGAAGCAAAATCACTTTGTGTTGCCTTTTTTGATATTACGGTCGTTTTTCACGCAATGCTTGATTCAAATTGGTCATTTGTTGTCGGTAGCGTTCAGTATTAAC